GGAGATGTTCATGTTGCTGCGGTCTGCAGTCTGGACGTTAGATGTCGCTGAAAATTACACACTGTAGCTTTAAGATATGATAAAATCAAGTATAACACCAAGAAATGAGAATAAATGCAAATTGAAACCAAAGTTTCACCGAATATAAACACCACAGTTGAGAAAGTAACAGGTGTTGAAATGAAAGAGAGAAGAATCTATTCCATCTTCTGACTCAACTGTGTTGTTTCTGAAAAAAATACTGGTGTAAAAATCCAGCAAGATTGCACTGAGCTGCCTTTCTGATGCTAGATGGAGTAACACTAAGGGAGAAAATGGACGTCCACATGACCCTGCATATGTTCCAATCCCCACAGAAGTCCGGATTCACACCAGGGTTACCGTTCATTTCACTATTAGGAATTGTACAACACTATGTGTACAAAGCAATCTTGTTTTTATGGTTTTTCCTGATGTGTCTATCTTGTCATGAGTTTTATTATTTCAATCTATATTGTTTTACTTGTTATCTTCCAGTACCTATTTAAGTTTCTTTTAAATAGTAGTAAGTAAATTCAGACGGTCAATACGGGAAATCTTGAAATTTAAAGTTGGAATCTGTTAAAGAGACATTGGAGAAAATACCACAGGAAAATGCCTCTTGCGCTTCTGGTGGAAAAGTGAGGAAAAGAATAGGTTTACTGAAACTGTGAATTGCTTTCACCAGTATCTCTGTTTATCTTACCCAGTACTCGCTAGCATCCATAGGCAGTTCTAGAGAGGGGTCTGTAGAACTGGTTCTGGTCCCTTTTAGAGCCCCTGTAAAGAAGACACGAAACTGAAAAAATAAAATAAATAGAATAAAATAAAAAGTTGTTAAGCGGTGTAGCAGGCATACAGGCTGATAGGTACCTTGGACCCATTTCACTTTTTTTACAGTTCTGTTTTAATTATGATTTGAAAATTAAAGCGATGGCTTCAGTCATATTGGGATAGAATTACAATTTTTATCCTTTAATTGCTATTTTAAACCAAATTTAAAAATTAAGCTAATTTGTTATAGCTAAATTCAGTGTTGTGCCTGAACGCGTTCATTGAGCGAAAGTTCATGAACTCGTTCATATTTTGGGCGAACGTGAACTGAACGTACTGCATTATTGCCTGATGAACGTTTTTGTGAACTCGTTCATTCTGGTGTCTGTGAACGTCACGCTCTCTCAGTTCAACGCCGTTCAATAGGTTGCCAGATTTCTATAGAGTCCTCCAGGCGAAACCCCGGCTAAATCACACCGTAAACAGGCCTTAATATGTAGCGGGAAAAACACCCAATCTGGCAACACCAGCTACCAGCGTCGTAGCCTACAGCCGCGTGCGTCATCAAAACAAAATGCAGCGTGGAAACCACAGCAGCATGGAGGCGACTTAAAACAGGTTTATGACCAGGTGGTCGGTGAGGATGATGGCAACAAGTTTGCCCGCCGGCTTTCAGTAAAAAAATCCGCACTTCAGTAACTTTAAATTCCTACCTCAGCCTGGTCCCTCAGTTTGTGTTAGTAAAATCTTCTTGAGCGGAGGTCTTCAACAGGGGATCCGCGACCCCTAGGGGGTCTACGGAGGTACTGCATGAGGGTCTGCATGGTTAGTTGATATTTTTATATTTCCCCCCCGCATTTTTTTTCCCCACTAATTGAAATGTCTTTAAATACTCATTAACATGAAATCAACACACTGTAGTAAACAGATAAATGGAGACAAAAGATGTCTTTCAGTCATTAATGCTCACATTCAGCGACACACAGGAGCTCTTTCAAGCTGGGCACCGTTTCCTTCACAACAACCAGGAATCAGAATCAGAAAAACTTTAATAATCCCAGGGAGAAATTAATTTCTTTACATTACTCCATCTGTAATAGAGTGACTATAGGACACAATTTCATACAATATATATAGTTAGGGGGTCCCCGCTCCATCTCACCATCAGTTTGGGGGTCCTTGGTCTGGAAAACATAGAAGACCCCTGTTCTTGAGGGTTTTACTATCCATGTAACTTGTTTGTTAAACCTGCCTGGTATAATTTTCCAGGATTCCAGTATTCCTTTTTAGTATGTATTGAAATGGAATTTCAAATGGAAAAAATTATTAAAATAAAAAAAAAACATTTGCACCTTAAAGACTACTTTCCTATTTTTCTTTTAATAATTACTCATAAGCAAGACCATTCAAGCAGCACATTTTTCCTGATGTTTTTGAGAATATACTGTAGGGGTGAAAGCTGCAGCTGCTACTAGTGTGAAGTGAATGGACAGCAACAAAGCGTTAAAGCAACAATAGGGAAATGCTGTCCCCTCAATGCTAATGTAAACCCTGGTTGGATAAGGATTCAAAACTGGATATGAAGATGAAATCTGACGGACAGTTTCAGTGTTACAACTGATAAAATAATTGCTGTCTGTGGTTCTACAGTAGGCTATGGTGTAATTGAGCAATATATGAAAAAAAAAAAAGAACTATGAACTAGTTCATTTTTTGGAATTGTGAACTATGAACTGAACTAGTTCATTTTAAAATGTGTGAACTGAACTTTGAACTAGTTCACGTAGAAAGAGAACTTTCCCAACACTGGCTAAATTGATCAGTTTTACTTTATTTCTAATTCTGATTTAATCAAAACTGATTATTTTCATAAAAAGAAAATGCATTAATTATTGCTAAATTAAGTATTATGACATAATACTACAAATAATAGCTTCATTTGACCCTTTAAAAGATGTTTACTTAGCCATTAATTACTTCAATATTTTTTCCACTGTACATGATTTATAATTTGAAATACATTTAAATTCAAATGTTCAAAACAAAAATACAAATTTTCAATTGGAACAACATATAATTTTGATAATTCACTTTTTATTGGTTTTTACACAAATAAATGAAACAAAGACAAAAACTTAACATCAAGGGCGTAGGTTTGATTTGAACTTTGGTAGGGACACTATTGGTCTGGTGTCATTGGTGCTATGCAATATGCATGCCCTTTTTTATGCTCGATGTGAGCATCCGTACTGATAAGAGGAATTCATTGTTAAAAGAGAAAAGCAATATTTTGCTCCATTAATAAAAATGTTATAAGCTCTACACTCATTAGATGCTGTTTATCAATGTTTGAAGCATCACCGGCTCTGATGAATGTGGAATAAGGACTGTTTTCCACTTTGAAAACGGTTTCATTTGAACGACTAAGAGAGAAGGTAAATACAGTATTTTCTTTTGAAGATATAGAATTGTGCAGAGTTAAACCCCACTCTTATATTTGTACCTACTATTCTCTCTCTGTATCAAGCAAAATAATACATTCATTAAAATATTAACTTCACTATAAAAGTTGAACATCTGGGCTGTAGTTACTCTGTGTAGCCACTTACATGTATTTCATCTGGGGCTGAAAAAAATAAATCATATTAATTGATTATTTCAATAATCGTCAACTAATTTAGTAAGTGATTCACTGGAGTATAGAGACTTTAAAACATACAGTAATATAAATGTAAAATGTGCCTTTCCCCACAGAGCAACCCACTTAGATAAAAGTCTCAAGAACCAGGGATATTAGATTTTTTATTTTTTTTTACTCAAAGCTGAATCCCTTCTTAAAAGCAGCTCATCTGAGGTTCTTCTGTTATGGTGGTTTAGCTCACAATCTGAACTGGGAATCGGATGCAGAACAGGTCTTTGTTGTCTTTATCTCTCAGCTCCCACTCCACAACACATTTGATAGAAGGATACTCGCTCTTTACTGGTAATGAAGCAAAATTGTAAAAAAAAAACAAAAAAAAATGAAAACAGTAATATCAACTAAATATCGGTAAAAAGGAAACCCTCACATTTTCTTTTTTAGTTGGCTGTGGCTAAGAATCAGAAATGTTGATGGCTTACAGCCTTTATTTGCCCATTTTTCCAGCAGTCTTCAGAACTCCTGGCTGACTCAGAATATTTCGTTTTATAAAAGAAAAAAAAAAGGTTTTTGTTTTTTAATGTACATGATATTCATTTTTTTTATTGGGACTAGTTTTGTAGCCTAATATTAATTGTTGTAACCGCTGCATTCTAGTGTGAATACATTTTCAATGTTGTGCTCCAAGCACAAGCGGACTAGAAAACAGCCAATCAGAGAGAGAGAAGGCGGAACTATATATATATATATATATATATATATATATATATATATATATATATATATATATATATATATATATATATATATATTTTTTTTTTTTTTTTTTTTTTTTTGACTATAACTATACATATTTGTACCTCAGTGAATGTTAAATATTCTAATAAACGAAAAGAGAGAAGTAAAGAAAACAAAACAAAAGAACAGCATATAATATTGATTAAACTAAATAAGTTGGAGTTTCACTTCTTTCAACACGAAGCCACACGTACCTTTTTAGTTCTGCGGCCCTCTTAGTACACTACAAAAAATTTAAATTTAAGTAAGTCAATTTCTCTTAAAATAAGTGCATTTTTGCTTTTTAATTGAGCAGGTAAGTGAGACACTTTGCCAATGGAACAAGACAATTTACATTTGAAATAAAAACAACTGCATTCTAATTATTTTATTTAAAAATGATAATAATCATTCCATTGAAAGATCATCTTATTTTACTACTTAAAATAAGGGCATTATTTTAACTAATTTTAAGAACCTTTTTGCAGTGATATTTTACGTGATTAACTGGTGACCTGTGTTTTTGTTTCATACTAATCTATGCCCCATTAAAACACGCTGGCCCCACCCTTGACCCCCGAGTAAATATGGCCTAGAACCGCCCCTGCTGGGATCCATAGCCAAGCTCCACTAAAAAAAAAAAGGAAAAAAAAATATTGTTGTGTAGCACTCTTTTCACCCCAGCGTTTCTTTGCCAGTCAATTTCCAAGCGGCCTCCATCCCTCAAAATCCATTGGTGATCGTGGTCGCGCATTTAAAATTAAAGCGTGGCGAGTAAGACTCTCGTGAACGCGCAATGGGGCCCTGACGTCACCGAGGCGCCCTGGCTCTCCTGAGCCGCTAGTACTGCTGGCGAAAAGATGGGAAAACCAGATAGCCGTTTATCGGAGATTTAAGATAAAAATGCCTGCTTTGGCCGCACATGTCCGGTTGTTAGAAGACTAAGCTGTAGCAGCGCTTTGAGCTTCACCAGACAACGAAAAAGGTACTTTGACTAAAGATGTTTTTTTTCTTACCTTTAAGCTATTGTGTTAGCGACCAAAAAATAGACATTTAGCTTGACCAATAAATTTGGGTTAGACTAGCCTCCATATGTCACGGTGGGCTAACGTTAGGTGTGTGCGTTGAGTACTTCTGGCCTTTCCTAGATATTTGCAGGGCTCGTAGCTTTGTAGACGAGCTTGTGAACGAAGAAAAGACGAAAACGAAGAGCCGTGTTCAGCCGAGGAGGAAAATGGTTTGATGGGTGTCTCCAAAGCAGACGCTGTATGCTCCGTGTCGTTGGGAATGGATTTAGCTAAAGGCTTTTTTTTTTATTCTCCGTTAGTATTTGACATGTTAACATTGAAAGGCAGGGAATTGGCAAATTGAAACATACAGAAAGATTGTCTATTTGCTGAAATTAACATCTGGATTAACATTTCTTTGCAGATAAATATTTTTTTTTCACCATGGACAATCTCCCTTTCCCCCCTCCTTGCTCCCTTTACCCTAAACAGTCAGAACAAAATCTACAAATGTAGAGTAATTGTAAATACGTTTAACTTTGATATAAAATATTAAAATAAATTAAATATATAATCATTATGGTGTGATTAATAATGCCAAAAGGGCCAAAAAGATGTTGAACAATTAATTATAGATGAATATTTCCTTATGGGTCTTGTTTCTTACTAAATCAGATAGTGATTTAATCCAGATTTAAATTAATATATAAACTGTATGAGGGGGGGGGGGCATCCCAACTATCTATCTGACCAGAGATCGAGCAACCAAAAGATACCCAAACCGTTAAGATTTAAATTGTTTTGCTTATTCAATATGTAAACCTTAAAATGACAGCCAAAGATATTTTCTTCCAGTTGTCTTTATACAGGCGTATGGCTGGGGAGTTTAATAAAAATGATGAATACAGGCTTATAACATGAACATGTCCTTAAGGATCTATATCAGTTGTCAGCCAAAAAAAAAAAGTTAAACCTTATCCAAGTAACCAAAAAACATGTTTAACAAACACAACTCTTGCAATGCAGTTGCAGTACAGAAAATATTGAATCTAATTTATTGTGCAGCTTCCTGTCAAATGCTTCTGAATTATATCAATATATCTGAGGATGTATGTTTTCTCATGTTGCCATTAATCATGGTTATCTGCAGTCATCATCATAGAAATCTTTTTTTTTACTGGTGTTCCGCTGATGCCATTTTCTTTGGCCCGATACCTGGCTGTGCAGTATTGGCCAATATCGATGCCATCTGTTTGAAAATGATGTATGTGTGGTGACAATAGCTGAATAAACTTTTCGCTCTCAAAATGGTATCGGTGCCCTATTTGTTGGTACTTGCCGATACTGATACCACCATTTTAATGCTGGATAGTGGCCCCGCCCGATACTGATATCGGTATCGGTGCAACACTAATTTTTACATGCAATATTTACTTGGAATCAATTATGCTTTTACCAGTATCTTCCAAGTCTCATGCGTTCCTGCTGCATGGGTTGCATATATTTATTTGATTGGATCTACTTTTACTGGCCTTGATGCCCAAGTCATTATGGTTCATACAAAACTGTACAAAATGATAGAATTTCATCAATCAAAAAATAAACGATTTGTCTATAAGTGACTACTGCTGAGAATATTCTATTTTTAAGTTCTACATCCCAAACAACATTTCATTATGGGTTCACAATGACAGTAAAGATTCTCAATTACAGATTACCACAACTATTGTAATTTAATATGTATTAAGAACTTGGATTTACAATCAAATTAGTTTTGATAAGAGAAATGTTTCCCACCAGAAAAGCGTAAACTTTTAGCCAGTTGACAAGTAGTTAACAGCAATAAATGCTACACACAGTTAGTGAAAACACTTATCACTCTGGTATTTCTCTACCATCTCATTTAAAAAAACGTCATGCTGTCCTAAGGGCATATTTTAACCATTACGTTGTAGAAGAGAAGTTTGCTATTTTTTCTTTGGCTTTTCTCGGTACATACAACATATACAATATTCTTATCCCTCTCCTCAGCCTAAGATCTTTTTTTTAATGAGACTTAAAAAATAAAAATAAAAAAATATAAAAAAGACTACAATCTTTACCATTGACTCATCTGTAGATCTGCTATAAAATGTTCATATAGAGAAAAGGAACCCAGTTAGACTTTTCCTTATAGAAACTGACCTCTAGTCCTCTTCAGGGTTTGACCTGCTGCTTCTCCTTTGAACAGTTAATCTATCTATATATATATATATATATATATATATATATATATATATATATATATATATTAAGGTTGTGCAATTGGATAAATCTATCGACCATTGATGATAGAATAAGACCTTTAGAAATATTTTTATAAGAGCAATATTTTTTATATTTTTTGGTCCTACGGGTAAAGACAGCTGCAGCTTTTGTTTTCTACAGTGTGCTTTCTCCTTTCCAGTTTTTAGTCTGTTCGATTTTACGCATTCAGATAAATAACAATCAAAAAACTATTGTCTCGTAACGTAGTCAGAACTGGAAAAGAGGAAACTATTCCCATGCATGAAAAAAAAACATGACAGCAGTAACTACAGTTTTACCAAAAAGAAAATGCAGTTATTTCTAGCAATTATCATGCCACATGTCCATCTTACCTTTATTAACTTAAGAAAAAAAAATACTTACAAATATTTGAAGGGTATTTGATGTAAGTACAGACCGAATATATTTTAAGTTAGTTTTGTTTTTTTATATTTACTTTTTTTGTTTGTTTTTTTATGATTTTTTTTTTAACTAAAAATGCCCTCTTGTTGAGGGAGAATTTCCCAATGCTCATCCACCATATTAAACATTGCATTTCTAAGTAAAAGTAAATGTTTAAAACTTTTTTAAATATTAGGTTTCAAGATGATAAATGTAATCAAGTATTCCAGGAGAGATCAGTGCCTGCTCTGTCAACATGAAGCAACCTACACACCATTTTTTCTTTTCATACCGTCTTCTTAACAGTACATATCAGTTTTATGAAAAATTAATACTTTTTTATATGCTGTTGATCTTTAGTTTATTAAAAAATGCTTGTCTGTTTTCAGGTATTTGTAACTCTGGTCACATCATCAGTCCCTAAAAGTGGAGTGGAGGGGACCATTTTTTTAATACCATGAATCCTGTGCCCAGCATCTGCAGTTGAAGCAACATCATCAGGATCACTCCTTTGTTGCAGAGAAGCACCCCAAAGTCTGCAAGGCTTTACTTACATCTGCTCATCTGGTGACCCCTTTTCTAGTTAGCAGAATATGTATGGTAGCGCCCGCTCCGTTGGCAGGGGAGATGCCAAAAATGGGGGAGGAAGAGACGGAGGCAGCGGCGGTGGTCATCAGGGATCAGGCCGTTCCCCACGCCTCCCTCGATCTCCCCGGATGGGACATAGACGCACCAACAGCACAGGCGGTAGCGGAGGAGGCCCTGGAGGAGCAGGAGGGAAAACTCTCTCCATGGAAAACATCCAGTCCCTCAATGCTGCTTATGCCACCTCAGGACCGATGTACATGAGCGACAATGAGGTAGCAATGGCAGGAGACCATGTATCCAAAGGTGGCATGACTGTGACCGTCACAGGACGACAGAGGGTGACATATGGATCGCGAGGTAGCAGCGGTGGGGTTGTAGCTGCTAGCACGCCCAATATCTCCACCACAGTGCCTGCTAATGCTGTGTTGCCAGCAGGCATGATGGCAGGGGACGCGCTGGCGTTTGGGGACCACCACATGGCTTCCACTGTACCCCACTCTCTAAGACAGGCCAGAGACAACACCATACTAGACCTGCAGTCCCAACTTAAAGAGGTATTCCACTTAAGAGTAAAAGAGGTCTGGATGGCCTTATGATGGAGAACATTATCACACACCCAGTTCTTTTTCTGTTCCATCAGGTTCTACGCGAGAATGAGATGCTGCGACGAGAGGTTGAAGTGAAAGAGAGCAAACTGAGTTCCTCCATGAACTCTATCAAAACCTTCTGGAGCCCAGAGCTAAAGAAAGAGCGAGCCCTAAGGAAGGACGAAGCTTCCAAGATATCTGTCTGGAAGGAGCAGTATCGCGTTATTCAGGACGAAGCGCAGGTGAGCCTTTGCTCTAATCCAGTCAGATGCATCACAAGCATCGCATTTGAACGGGGGAAAAAATCACAAAACACATTTCTCTTTTTTACAGAAATGTTTTACAGCTTTCATTCTCTCCCTTTTCCTACTGTATATGTTTTGAATCTGGTTCTGAACATCTAGTTAATCCTCTTATGTGAAGCTATATGCTTGTGCTTTGTAGATGAAAGGGATGTAAAATTTAATGGTGCATTACCGTTTTTTGTATGCTTTGGAAAGTGCTGCAAGTGGTGAGCATAATAAAATGTGATAGTAGGGCCTTTTTGATGGGGGATGTTGAATTTTTCACAGTCTAAAAAATATTTGTCAGATATGCAGATAAAGGTCTTTAGAAATATGCATTGTTTTTTTGTTTTTGTTTTTTTACTTCGGAGTCCTAAGGTATTAGGATCCTACAAAGTCTTTGAACAAAAGTAGAGATGGAAGATGGGGAACAGATCTATATTGAAACCTGTCGTCATTCTGCTTTCTATAAATGGATGTTCCGCTTCAACAATATGATTCTGCTAACTCTGCATCAGTTTGTATGAGATTTTTACAGTATGTTCAGGTTTTGGTTTGTTATATTTTCACAAAAAATTATTATACATCTAAAATGTTTTTATTGCTTTAATCTGAAACAGGATGTAATAAATATATTTACTACAGCAGGAGTAGTGGAAGACTTTATTAAAAAAGAGATCAAATGTTGTTTATGACACTTTTCTGAATTTTAAACATTATCAAAGGCTAAAATCAAGAAGCATCTTTATATGTTTTGTACTACTTTCCAAATTCCTATTGTCTTGAGTATTGTTTTTGTTCTGCCTAATAGTAATGGAACTGCATTAGCTGGATAATTCATTAGGATTAGACAGACATTCTGTTCTAGGTTTTACGACAGAATTTTTTCTTCTTCTTTTAAAGCAGGTTAAAATGTTCCCCTCCTCCTTTAATTCAGCAGACTACAGGCGCAACAGGTGGGGCAGTGCAGTGCTACATTATTTCGTGCTTCGTACAGCAAGAGAAAGGCTGTGACGTTTTCTTTGATCTCTTTAAAGTATGTTTTTAACTAGAAACTTTTCATATCCTTAAACTAGGGCTAGAAGTTATAGAACCAACAATAGACTATAGAATTAACAATACGGTCGGTATGATTATATTTCTATATCACTAAAAAGAAAAAGAGTAAAAGCTTCAGGAAGATTGCCAACAATGCCCTCAGCAGATTCCTGTACAAACCTATCTCAATTATTGTGCCACTTTTAATAAAAATCCTCCAACCTAACATTTAAGAAATTTTGGCTTTTAAAAAACAAAAATTCATTAAACTGCGTAAAACCCGAAAGATCAGACAATGATGAATGCTGTTTATAGACTGTATTTCTTCTTCTTATTAAAAAGTCATATCACCAATATTGAATTCAATTAAATCACAATGATAATACTATCACCCAGCCCTACCTTTTAAGCTGTAAACTTTTTATACTTAGGTTTATGTTTGACGCAGGTCTGCTGTGTGGATTTTCCTTTACTTGGTAGCAAACATAAATGCATGTAAAATGGTCATGAACTGGGTAGCAGTATTAAACAGTTGCTCTTTAAATTGTTTACTCCTGTGGTTTCTGCAATTTAACTTTTTTTTTTTTATTTTTTTTTTATGAGATATGACAGATAAAATTTTTAGCCGTTAAAGGAGCTTCACTTCATATGAATTAAGAACAAAACATTGTTTTATTGCTACATTAAAAATGTTAATTGACTTTTTTTTGTATTTATGGAATTTCATCTGTTTATGGATCACTAACATTAGAAAAGTGCTTCAGATAACATTAATATTATAATATGTCTCTTGCTATGGCGTTATATACAGTCGAGGCCTTTTCTAAAAGCCTTTGTTGTAGCAATCGTAGAAATTAGCTTTCATTAACGAAGACAAATAGTCTTTGTTTAACTGTGATTCTTAATAGATGGGGAGGCATTCTGAGTAATTCGCTGCCTTTACCCCTGCTGACTCACAGAATCACACTCCAGACTAATTCCCAGTTACGCCCGACCAGCGCAGGGCTAATCAGTAGGAGCTTTAATTTAAAGATGTCAGCTCTGAAACGTCTGCCTCCACCTCCCACGCTGGCATGCACAGAGAAAGGGAAAGGCATGGCCACTGATTATGGCTTTGGTGAGGACTGCAGACTTTGCACTGGATGGAGGCCCAAATTAATGTGCATATTTGCAGCTTTGTGTTTGCTTGTTGTTGCAGTTATTGTCACTGCTGTAGTTTAGTACTTGATTTGATCCTAATCGTGTTTTGCTTTGCCTGTAAAATAAAAAAAAGTAGCTTGGTGTTAAGATGAGTCTAGTTACTGCTTTTATGCATTTGATCTCAGGCAGAGGGGGGGGGGGATATGGGGGCTGAGGAAGGGACAAGGTGTGTGTGTTTTGCCTGTAGGTATATCTGGAAGAGGAGGGGGGTGGTGGATCGGTGTAGTCACAGCAGTGAGTCAGCCTTAGTCACGGGGCAGAGAGGGTGATAGAAAGGGATGGTTGGTGAGAGTGGAGGAAGGAGGAGAAGGTAGTCGATTAGCAAGTCTGGAGTAGAAAGATGTGCACTGGTGGAGGCTGAAGGACAGATTGACAAAGGGAGGAAGAAAAGGGAGGGGTTTGGAGGACAGAGCAAAATGAAGGCAGACACTGACTTCTCTCTTTGTTTGGACTTCTGAAAAACGCTCCCAGCTGGTTTAGACCAGAGCGTAACACAACCTCGTGTTACGGTCTCACAGCAGCCCTGCCAAATGCCGTGGCGTCAGATGCCGCAAACAATGCAATACTACACTGGGCTGATTGTATTTCACTGCTTGCATTTCTCAGTGCAAGAAATGTAATGCTGTCTATAGAGCTTGTCTGAAGGAATTAAGACATGGCTAGATTTATGAAGAGGGAGTTTTTAAACAGAATTGGACACAATGATTTTCTCCTGGTAACACAAATCACCTGTTTTTGATTAGAAATAAAGATTAACTTTTTTGTTCATAATAAGTATTTTATTTCAATTTCCCAAAGAGCCACATGAGGAACACGGGGGGCTTTGGGATGCTCACTTATTTGACTTGATTATTACTACAGTGATATTTATATTTCAGTAATTATTCCTAACAGTTGTTATTGCATATAAACAATAAGGCTAAGTGGCTAAATGATTTTGCCAAAAATCTAAATTATTATATATATTTTTTTTCAGCCAATATTGTGATACTATTTTGTTCTTCCTCTGCAAAAACCAGAAGCATGTAGATTCGTCATTGTTTTCATGGCCTTGAAAGCTTACTTGTCCAGAGTTCAGAGTCACAGAACTTTACTGTTTCAGATGCCTGGAAAACTTCTTGTTTGTACTCGGATGCATGAATCAGTGTGCTACTCTCACTTCCATGAGTGGGAAAATCCACGTCTTACTTTTGTTAATTTAATCAGACCAAAACTGAGTAACTTTGTTATTCGAAAATTTGACATTTAGTTAAATTGCCTTTATATTCCAAATATAAATTAATTGCTTGGCCCTATAAGAAATTCAACATGCCATATTGAGTACTTAATCTGTCATCTGTTAAGTTTCAAATAGAAAACACATACTTATAGTTTATAATTTGATAGTATGTACAAATTAAATGCATCACAAGTGAAAAACTGTCCAGCATTTTGTTGTTTATAGCACAAAATAATTCACTAAGAAAGCAGACAACCCAAAGTTTCTCATTCGGTCATGGACCCACTGAGGGATGCCGTGAGGTCATTTCAGTCAGGAAGAAGTCATTTTACATAGCGAGTCAATATTAATTCACCTTTGTGATGGAGTTTTTATCCTTTAATGAGGACAAATACGAAGCAATCAGAGTCCTGGTGGTTTTATTTCATGCTTGCTGGTTTAATCACCACTGCTTAATGTTCTTTGATCTTATGCAGAGCCGGTGGAAGTTCATTATCTTTCAGAACATTTTCCAGAGTGTTCTGTTTTGAAATAAAATTAATGGAAAAGAAATATTTCATAAAAAAAGCTTAAAATCAACTTTATTGACATGAGGCACTTTATTAAAGCAATGGAACAGAGAAAACAAGCCATTGCAACTTTGGTATATTGAATCCAACTGATTCTGTGAGAGAACGTTTGACTACACTGACATCACAGCTGGGGATCGCTAGAGGCGCCCACCAAACTATGTAAAATTCTCTCAATTTTTATTACATGGAGCATTTTTAGCATGATTTAGACCAGCCACATGGAGAAAGGAAAGGATAATCTACAATTCGTACGATAAAACTGCTCTAGATGCCCTCCTTTCTATTTTACCTTTAAAGCAATTTAAAAAATTAGAGATGTTAACGTTCTTTGACTTCTTCCTGTCTAATCTGATGGTATTATTCAAACTGAAATCTTAAACTTACTTCTAACATACTCTGTAAACTGTAGCATGTTTTGTTAGCTGCTATAATCTGTCAGGTCAAGGTTTCTGCTTCCCGAGACTCCATCCAAGAAGCTGAATTGTCGAATTGGCATGTCAAAGGTTTTTTATTAGTAACGCTTGAACATTTCAAACAATGTTTCATTCCAGCAGTCATTTGCATTGACTTTGTTGATTACCCTGTTGATTTGTTGAGCAGTGTTTATATAAAAGCTCTTTTAACAACTCTAGGATGATCAGAATGTAGGAGCATAAAAATGATGGCACTTCTCACATGAGATTTAAAATCCATCTTTAGGGATCCAAACACAGTTACCTGCTTTAACTACACATGCACATGCAGACAGGTCACAGAATGGGCTGTCAGCTGATCAAGCAGCAGGTCTGCTGATGTTCCTGTAAGACCAACTATGTATTCAATAACTTTGAACTGTGGCTTTATGGAAGTATTTACCCTGCTGAGATTATTAAATGGGTTACCTGGGGATCTCAATGAGGACATAAAAGAGAGCAGACTAAAAGACGGGGGAGCTCAGCATTAGTAGACTTGCGCATCTTTATTAATATCTTCACATCGTGCTGCATAACGAGGCATTCCACATGGAGCTGAACTCCAGCAAGAAACCACAACTGAACAATGAGATAATTTTTCTCTGTTTTATTCATGTCTGTGTATCAAAAAAGGTTTGCGAAAAATGTATAACTAGTTTGTAAATGGTAGCTGTATAGGAAAAATTATAATTTAGCAATTCGAGTAAAAGTAATTGGATCATATCATATCTCTTCTTTTTTCTCTCTCCAAATCTTATCCTGTCGTTTGACAAGCCACAACCTCAATTTAAAATCCTGAGCTTGCATTTTAAGACAACAGTTCCAAATATTTTTGTTTTTCCAAATCAAACATTTCGGGTTCTGAAGACTTAATGAAGAACTCCAATTGAAAATGTGCCTTCTCTATTTTAAGCATCTCCAGATGACTGTTCAAGCTCTTCAGGATGAGCTGAGGATCCAGAGGGATCTGAACCAGCTGCTCCAGCAAGACCCTGCCAGTCAAGGAAGGGAGCTGGCCCTGACATCTGAGCCTACAGAGGAGAACTACCAGAGACTGCATGCTGAGCATGAGAGACAGGCGAAAGAGCTCTTCCTTCTTAGGAAGACGCTGGAGGAGATGGAGCTGAGGATTGACACCCAAAAGCAAACCCTGGTAGCTAGAGACGAGTCCATCAAAAAGCTTCTGGAGATGCTGCAGAGCAAAGGTAGGTTTAGAAGCATCCACACCATCCAGTCAGAAGTAGTAAAATAATTTGTCATCACTTATTAAAGGGCTATATGTGCAACATACTTCCATTAACTTCAGCAACAGTCTGTCCAGTTATTAATCTGTTGTTTTTTCCATCCAACATTTCATCTATCTATCCCTTCTTCTATTTGTTTATCATCTATAGCTAAATACCCAAGCTCCTGTGTGTGAGAAGTGTAAAAGTTTCTTGTTTTGTTTTTTCCTTCAAAAGTCCTGAAGTTCCATCATGTGTCTTTGTGCTGATTGTTTGGTTACTTGCCATCTTTATATTGACAAAATCTACGTTTTTATTGTATTTTTTTTCCTGTGTGTGTTACAGCACCATCTGCCAAAGCATCAGAGGAAGATCAGGAGCGGACCCGGAGGCTGGCTGATGCAGAAATGCACAGGCATCACCTTGAAAGTTTACTGGACCAAAGGGATCGGGAGATTACAGCTCTCAGAGAGGTAAGGCCCAGATGGATTATTCTGACTCTAAAGGGAACTTTAGCCATCTCAACATTTTATGTCTAATTAGGGGGAAAAAATTAATGTGAAATCCCTTTTTACAATTTGATCCAGCAGGAGCTTCATCGTCGATACGAAGGAACTCCAGAGTCCACCAAAACAAAGGCTTTGCAGACTGTTATCGACATGAAGGTGCGGATCTAACCGTCTCCATCTATTCAGCTTGGTCACATCATACTTTAATTGTTTACACAATCCTAATACCCCAGGATGCAAAAATCAATTCCATGGAGCGGAGCCTCAGGGACATGGAGGAGGAGGTTCTAATGCTGAAATCTAATGGGCTCCTGAGCTGTGAGGAGCGTCAGGAGGAGATGAAGCAGATGGAGGTGTACCGCAGTCACACCAAGTTCATGAAAAACAAGGTTAGAGACAGAATAAGATCAGTTAAGGTCCACTCAGCTATGGAAGGTTTGTCATGTTAGAGTTTTATTCTCATAAATAAGTGGATTTAATTCTTTCTCATGCTTTTCAGATGGAGCAGGTGAAGCAGGACCTTTCCAGGAAGGACACTGAGCTCCTTGGTTTGCAGACTAAGTTGGAGACGCTAACTAACCAGTTCTCTGACAGCAAACAGCACATTGAAGTCCTCAAAGAGTCTCTCACTGCCAAGGAGCAGCGCGCTGCCATCTTACAGACCGAAGTATTACACAACCCCAAAAAGAAACCATGTTTACTCTTTAAGTCTTTTTATTCATATCATATTTGTTTTATTGCTGTGCAGGTTGATGCCTTACGTCTGCGCTTGGAAGAGAAGGAGGCGACTTTGAATAAGAAGAGCAAACAGATTCAAGAAATGTCAGAGGAGAAAGGAACCCTGAACGGAGAAATCCACGACCTGAAAGACATGCTGGACGTTAAGGAGCGCAAAATTAATGTGCTGCAGAAAAAGGTGATCTTAAAAAACGTAGCATGCAGTAATTCTCCTACGGCGGATGTTTGCTTTGACTGACTGGTAATGTGTTTGCTTTGCAGATTGAGAACCTGCAGGAGCAACTTAGAGACAAGGAGAAGCAGATGAGCAGCTTAAAGGAGAGGGTGAAGTCCTTGCAGGCAGACACTTCAAACACTGACACTGCTCTCACAACACTGGAGGAATCACTTGCAGAAAAGGTGCCTTTAGATATTAGCTGTTGTATCCCCCATTTTGTATGGTGTCCATCTGAGAACACCTTTTATTACCGTTTCTCATATTCATTTAGGAAAGAATTATTGAACGTCTGAAGGAGCAGCGCGATAGAGATGACCGGGAGAAGACGGAGGAGCTTGACAGCTCCAAGAAGGAGCTGAAAGAGCTGAAGGAGAAGCTGAGCTTAGTGCAGGGAGACCTGTCAGACAGAGAGGTGAGGAACTGCTGGGATTCTAAACATTCACAAAGAACAGATAATCTTTTTTTGATTAATTTAATTTTTTTAGTTTTTTTGTCATGCCTTATTAGCACAAATATCTTTTTGCATGCAGACCTCTCTGTTGGACCTGAAGGAGCATGCTTCATCCCTGGCTTCATCAGGACTGAAGAAAGATACCAAACTCAAGAGTTTGGAAATAGCCTTGGAGCAGAAGAAGGAGGAGTGCCTCAAACTGGAAAACCAACTGAAAAGAGTGAGATAACGGATCCTGTTAGTTATTGACCTCATAGTTCATGCTCTGTGGTTCTTAAATGGACTCTCCTCCTCCCCCTAGGCTCAAAATGCAGCACTGGAAGCTCAAGCCAATACAGAGCTGGCTGAGCGCATCAGGAACCTAGAACAGGAAGTGGCCCGTCACAGAGAGGACTCTGGGAAGGCCCAGGCAGAGGTTGACCGCCTCCTCGAGATACTTCGGGAAATGGAGAACGAGAAGAACGACAAGGACAAGAAGATCAGTGAGCTGGAGAGGTGTGGTTTCTGTTTAAGCTTTAGTTTTATTTCCCCTAAGATCAAAGTCTGTAGTCTTTCAGCCTGTGATTCCTGATGGTCAGAGAGATGATGCACAAATCATTACATTTATATATTTTTTTGTCTCTGTCACTCAGTTTTAATCAAACTGAAATGCATCTTTCTTATTCTGCAGTAACTCAGTGTGTTAGGTGGCTGGAAAATTTAAGATTTAGCGCCCAGCCTCTCTCTTGAATTGCTTATTTTTTCATTCTAAAAAGTCTAAATTCTTTTCTTCCTTCCTAATCTAAATATGCTCAGTTTCTTAGCCTGAGTCTCTTTTCTCTTTACTGCTTTCTTTGCACTGGAAATTTCATACCCGAGCAGTTTGGCCTCCAGGTTAGTGCTCTTTCTTTTCTATTCACCCAACACCCCTTTTACTTTGTCCTCTTCTTTTGTTTCCTTTCCTCTTCTTTGGGTATCTTGTTTCTTCAAAGTGTCTGCTGGGTGCACCCTTTTTCTATTCCTGACACATTTTTTTTTTCATATTCCTGTTCTTGATTTATTTTCTGGTTTTAACTTAAAGCCAAACCTTACATTTGTCACTTTTTACAATTCTAATGGAATTCCTAATTAGGCAATATATCTGTGTGTGTGATTTTTAACTTGGGTCTATGAATACTTGATGTTCAATTAAATAAAATGACAAACTAAAAGTAGGCCTGATTGGTAAGAAATATGAAAAAAATCTAGACAATTAAATGGGTCCTCTACAGCTCGAAAAGCATAAAACAGTGAAAAAATTAGATTTTATATCATTTTCTGTTGTATGCAAAGTTTTAAGTTTGTAAAAACTTGTTTATAAAAATCACCATTTCTCATTGTTTACCTTTTTTTTTTTTTTTTACATCAATTTAATTACTTTTATGTTAATTTTGCCTCCTTACAACTCGACTTGGTGTCTTTCCTATAAGTCACTTATAAACAGATAAAATTTATAAAATAATAGAAATGGGCTATAATAAAAAAAAAATCACTCCTCCCCCTAGATCTGTGGAACATTTTTTTTAAACAGCCTCCAATATTTTAAATGATTACTTCTTTTTAGATTTTTTTTTTTATTAAACTATCACTTCATGCAATGTCATGTAAAGTTATCTGTTGTTTTTTTTTATCATTTAAACTACATTTTTTAGACATTATAGATTTAAACTGTTTCATTTATGTCCAAACAAAAATAAATTATCCAATTTCTGCCAAACCATAAACCAGTTTCTATGCAAATGAATCAAAAGCAGGAAAAACCTAATTGATTATTAAAAACTAAAGTTTTTAATAAAACTCCAATTGAGGAACCCCATTGGAAATCAATAAAATGTCGGATTTGAAGTCTGTATTGTTTTTAATGTTGGTTTTAAGAGAATTGAGACTTGTACGATTTTAAAAAGGGTCTGTGAGCAATAATTCATTAAAAACAATATCATGTTTTTGAACGTAACTGGGAGTTGATATCTTAATAACCAATTCTTTATGAAGCCGTAACATCTTTGTTATGAAATATTTAATGTTCCCTTCGATAAAAGTGCCTATATGTGTAACAAACCCTTGCATTTGAAGCTTAACAGCATTGCTATACTGAATAATAACAAAGCTATGATGTTTAAGAGTTAAATATAGTTTATTGTTTCAGTTGTTTGACAAGAGGTAAAATTTAAAATATTCTCTCTAATAATTGGTTTGCAGGCAAATGAAGGACCAGACTAAAAAGGTAGCCTCTCTGAAACACAAGGAGCAGGTGGAGAAGAGCAGGAATGCTCGACTGATGGAGGAGGCCAGGAAGCGTGAGGACAACCTGTCTGAAACTTCCCAGCAGGTGAAGGTGAGGCTTGTGTGTGTGTCAATTGCTTAGGCTTGAATACAGTTTGCAGGAAATGAATCCTGGGATGTTGCGTCAGCGCCTGACAAAGCTAAACTTTCCGCTGGTGTGAAGGACACTCTGCGTCAGAAATCAGAGCGCATTGAAGAGCTGGAGGAGGCTCTGAGGGAGAGCGTTCAGATCACTGCTGAGCGAGAGATGGTGCTGGCACAGGAAGAGGCTGCACGATCGCTGCAGGAAAAACAGGTAATTAACACACACTGCATGATAAGTCAGTATTAACCAACCACAAGAAGCTGCTGCTAATACTAAACATTTCTATTTACACAAAAAGGTATCTGGAAGTCCTTCTCTTTCACCTTTGGCTGTCTTTGCGGTGTTGACCTCTCTTTGTTTTGCCTCCTCTCTTCTGGCCTCCTCCTCTTTCTCAGTTTCTTTATCTTTGCTTGTTGTTTTTTTTTTCTTGTCTTTCTGCTACACAACTGCCTCTCCGAAGCACTCATTCAAACCAATGCATGAGTCCAACCTCTCCCACTTAAAGTGGTCTAAGGTATGAGCCCAGTATGTGTAATCTTCATCAGTGGTCGGCAGCTCAATACAAACAACACTTCTACAAGTCATGCAGTCTCATGCAGCAATATCAAAGGTCATCTTTGGTGGATATGAAAGCTTTCGGATTGATGTTCAGACTGCATGGATTTGTAAAGACTGCATGGATTTGTAAAGTGTCTCCAGCCTTTAGCTACCAGCGATTATTTTTTTTACCTGCTGTTTGCTTGTAAAGTAAAGCTACAGAGCCGTACGAAAGTATTCATACTTCTTGAAATAATTACTCATTTTATCAGGACACAACCACAAACTTCATAGTATTTGGTAGCGATTAAACCAGAAATGCTGTGCGTTTCTGGAAAACTAACCCTGTTCATCAGACTAAATTCTACCTCTCCATTGTGAAACATGGTGGCGGCAGTATTATACTTTTGGAATGCTGGAAACAGATACAGGGAGGCTGGTCAGAGTTTTAGAGATGGTAGGTTTGAGCAAAACTACAGAGCAAGAGGAAAACTCTTAAAGCTGGAAGAATATTTAGAGGTTTAGTTCCTGACAAGTAAGAACCTTAAAACATAGGTTTCAATATAATGGTTATATAGAGAGCCTTTTTCATGTAATGAAATGCTTCAATTAAAGTCCAGAGACTCTGGACTTTAACTGAGTATCTCTGGAAAAATCTGACAGCATCTTCTCATGCCATCCATCCACTTTGAGCTTGAGCTACTTTTGCGAAGAAGATTGAGGAAAATTTCTCCTTTTAGTCTTTTACTGTGCAAGGTGGTTCTACAGCAACTCGTTAGATAAATGTTAGATGCATTTACCACTAATTTTCAGTTCTAAACATAAATAAAAGTTATTTTTTACTTATATCACACAATTATGTTCTGCTTTGCTTTGGTCCGTCACACAAAATCCCCCAAAAGATGTGAAGGTTTGTGGTTGTATGATTGCATAATGTGCAAAATGGTTTGGGGGAGTATGAACGTCTTTGTAAGGCATTGTATTCATCAGTTAGCCAGTGAATGAGGATGAACTATTCAACTCTTCTCTTGTGTCATGATTTGTTTGAAAAATGAAATCAATGATTTAGTGTTCACGGAAATACTTGAGAGCTCATCTCATTTGCTTTGGCAGGATATTTTTGCCAGCCCTTCGGTCAATCAGTGCTGTTTTACCTTTTGAAATACAGGTTTGATGCATTAACATTTCTGTTTTGGCACTCATGAACAGAATGGGAGGACTGCTGCTGATGTGGAAGGGTTATTATTTCAGTCTACCATCATCACTACATCGTTGTTGGTTTTCTTTCCTTTTTTCTTTGCTTGGATGTGTTGCATCCAGAGGTTAAAGGGATTGGTGGTAATATAAAGTGAGGTTATTGAACATGGTTTCCTTAACTGTTGGAGAAAGATGTCATATTTTATAGTGAGAATATGTAGGGAGAAAAATAAATTAGGATACTGATTGATCACCTCCATCTACCTCTGACAGGCTCTGAATATTAGCCACTGTCAGTGGCTGATAAAACTTAAAATTTTTATTTTTTCAAATATTTATTTGAGAGCACTACCTCATCTCAAATGATTTGGTATTGAACTTTTTTAATAAAATAAGATTGGAACTTCATAATTAGTGGCTATAAAAGAACAACAAGTCTGCCAGAAATGGATTTGGCATGTTAGGCTTTTTAAAGATTGGCCAGAAAGGTGCAATCATTGTAATTTGCAATCATTGCAAACCAATTTTACAATTTTCAGTACTAAAGCTTTAATCATAAATCAGTGGTTTAATGTTTCAAATGTTTTTATTAAATACATTTACCTGCTTCAGCTTAGAAGCAAGCTAATTTACAACAATTCTCCAGACAAACATGTTGCACCACTATGCCTTAGTTTTTCCCCTTAGTTGATCCCAAACTTGAATGTGAGCATGGCATCATGTGAGTACAACATATCCAATAAATCTGACATACTGATGACAAGATGAAAAAGCATCATATGTCAGCTATCACCACATTTAGCATTGCTAAGATTCTTAGAAGATTGTCAGCACTTCAAAATCCATTATGTTTCATTACAGACAGAAGACATTTCAAGAGACTGAAGACAGAGTAACTTTGCTGAAGTTAGTTCAGGATTCTAAATTTCTGCTTTCTCCTCTTTTAGGAGGTAGCTTAAACCAATCAGCCAATAGGCCTCCCTCGATATAATAAACAATAGCTAAAACCTAATTTTCTTCCCTCAGTAGCAACATCCACACTAAACAGTTTTGTTCTTGTACAGATGTGTCAGTGTGGTTGTATTAAAATGGTTGATCATAAAAAGAATGGATTTTAATTTCTGATTTTTCCTGCTACACAGTATTTGCTGGACCACAATGTCTAGCAATGGTTAGATTCTGATTGGTCAGTGATAGACTCTGCCTTAAACTATTTTAAAAAGGATCTATCTAAACCTCTCTTTTAGCAATCTTACTCGTTTTAAATTGCTAAAACTTCAGCCCCTATCAGGCTATAAGCTTTCTCTCAGCAGTATGACACCTTTCTACTACAGGTAACGATAGTGAAATGTATTTATAGATCCTCCCCTGGGGGGTAAGAAGCAACTATCCCTTTAAGACGCCCTTGAATTAAAACTGATTCCAGTCTGTGTACAACTACTTGTTTTAATTGTTTTGCTCTTAACTATCGTTTACTTTAATAGGTTTTACAGTACATAGCAGGTAATTAAAACTGTTTCTACAGCTGCCCTTCCATCAGTTTGTTTCACATTTGGAAACTCTGTGTAATTTAATGGGAAAATCTTAGACTCTTGACTGCCATTGATCTTTATCGATGTGTGTTCCCAGATGGAGGAGCTGCTGGGTGCCATGGAGAAGGTGAAGCAGGAGTTGGAGTCCATGAGGGCTAAGCTGGCATCCACCCAGCAGTCTCTGTGTGAAAAGGAGGCCCACCTCACAACCCTGCGAGCTGAGCGCAGGAAACACCTGGAGGAGGTGCTGGAGATGAAGTAAGACCCAGGCCCACACAGTCACTCACTCACTCTGTAGGGTGCCATAGACTGTCGATTATTGATCTCTGCCTTAATCAAGTAAAATGTCATCCATTTCTGGCTTTCCCCAGATGGCATGCTGAGATTGTCTATGGATAATACAATGGCTGAGGTATCTGCTTGTACACTTAAAAGTTATGGTGCTTCAACTACTCCAAACAGGCAGGAGGCACTTTTGGCTGCCATTAGTGAAAAGGATGCTAACATCGCACTGCTGGAGTTGTCATCCTCTAAGAAGAAGAAGACCCAGGATGAGGTGACTCAGTTGAAGCGAGAGAAGGACAGACTGGTGCAGCAGCTCAAGCAGCAGGTAGGGAAACACCATCTGGTATCAGCAAGGGGATGAATGAGATAAGGAAACGAGTTGTTTAGGGAGATTTTTACGTACTTGCATACACTGTCATGTTTTTAAATTTATCCAGGAGTATGTCCCACTCTGCCTCCTATAGGTGAAGATGAAACTGGTTGGAATTCAATTTAAATATATTGTATTAATCCGAAATGCAAATGACATTTCATTCATAATTGCAGAATGGTGAGCTTTGTGTCAAATATGCTGCTTTTGGTTGTGATTAAATTTATCTTAACCATTTTTAGAATGAGTTAATAACACAGCCAGAGTTAACAACAACTAAAAACGCATAAACTCTTCTAAACTTTGGTCAGTGTTCTCCTAGTCTTTTATTTAATCTTTTTCTGGTTCCCAAAGATTGTTTCCTATATACACTCACCGGTCACTTTATTAGGTACACCTGTCCAACTGCTCGTTAACACTTAATTTCTAAGCAGCCAATCACATGGCGGCAACTCAGTGCATTTAGGCATGTAGACATGGTCAAGACAATCTCCTGCAGTTCAAACCGAGCATCAGTATGGGGAAGAAAGGTGATTTGAGTGACTTTGAACGTGGCATGATTGTTGGTGCCAGAAGGGCTGGTCTGAGTATTTCAGAAACTGCTGATCTACTGGGATTTTCACGCACAACCATCTCTAGGGTTTACAGAGAATGGTCCGAAAAAGAAAAACATCCAGTGAGCGGCAGTTCTTTGGGCGGAAATGCCTTGTTGATGCCAGAGGTCAGAGGAGAATGGCCAGACTGGTTCGAGCTGATAGAAGGGCAACAGTGACTCAATTAACCACCCGTTACAACCAAGGTGGACAGAAGAGCATCTCTGAACGCACAGTACGTGGAACTTTGAGGCAGATGGGCTACAGCAGCAGAAGACCACAACGGGTGCCACTCCTTTCAGCTAAGAACAGGAAACTGAGGCTACAATTTGCACAAGCTCATCGAAATTGGACAATAGAAGATTGGAAAAACGTTGCCTGGTCTGATGAGTCTCGATTTCTGCTGCGACATTCGGATGGTAGGGTCAGAATTTGGCGTCTACAACATGCCTTGTATCAATGGTTCAGGCTGGTTGTGGTGGTGTCATGGTGTGGGGAATATTTTCTTGGCACTCTTTGGGCCCCTTGGTACCAATTGAGCATCGTTGCAACGCCACAGCCTACCTGAGTATTGTTGCTGACCATGTCCATCCCTTTATGACCACAATGTACCCAACTTCTGATGGCTACTTTCAGCAGGATAATGCGCCATGTCATAAAGCTGGAATCATCTCAGACTGGTTTCTTGAACATGACAATGAATTCACTGTACTCAAATGGCCTCCACAGTCACCAGATCTCAATCCAATAGAGCATCTTTGGGATGTGGTGGAACGGGAGTTTCGCATCATGGATGTGCAGCTGACAAATCTGCGGCAACTGTGTGATGCCATCATGTCAATATGGACCAAACTCCCTGAGGAATGCTTCCAGCACCTTGTTGAATCTATGCCACCAAGAATTGAGGCAGTTCTGAAGGCAAAAGGGTGTCCAAACCGTTACTAGCATGGGGTACCTAATAATGTGGCCGGTGAGTGTAATATTGTTATTATTGTCATCATTCAGTTAAATAGTACTTAATATCATCGTTGATTCATTTTTAACACAAGTTGACCCGTTTAAATAAAGTCATATCAAACTTACTCTGGTTTTCCTTAATTAGCTCAAGATGGTGTCATACTTTTACAAAGAAAGGTGACAGAATATTGCAAAAAAAAAAAAAGAAAATATGAATCTTCTAAATATTTTATTTACTTGTATATCTCTTAATTTATTCAATATTTTTCTGGGATTTTCCACTGGGAGAGACTGTTATTTTGAACACTTCTCACTAGTGAAAAAGGGTTGTGCCACTCAGTGCTGCCATCATCGCGTTAAAACAACATATTCTAAGTATGCAGGAAAGAATATGCCTTTAAGACATTCCTGTCTGCTCTGAAGGTGGTCAGTCAGTATCTCAAAGCACACATTCAGTCTGTACTCTGACTTCTCTCACTCTTTTATCTTTGACCTTTTCTTGTATTTATTACATATTTTTTGCCCAGTTTTTGTCAGATTTTCTGCTTCAAAGGGTGAAATATTGCTTTGCACTCTGTCTGCGTGAGAAGACAAAAGTGTTTGTCTGCATGTGAGCACACACAACGCAGCCTGAGTTTGCATCTGAAATGGAGCATGAGGCACGAGTTTTTTTGCAGCTTTTTTTTGAGTCTGGCGTTTTATAAGAGCAAAAAGTAGAGGAGCAATCACATAGGGAGAGAAATATATCATGGTGCAGTCTGGCATTACTTAGAGCAGCTAAAATTTGTAACAAATAATTGAGAACATGTAAAATCACTTCATGTCTTGATCCTATGGATGAGCTCTTCCTTTTCTACAGTTTTCTGCTGTCGGTCCTTTCTCTCCTTCCACTTTCACTCCTTTATTCCTTTCTTTCCCTCAGTGTGCCCTTCCCCTCTTTGCTCCCTTGTTTTGCCTTTTTCATCAGTTTTTCCCAGGAATCAGCCTATTTTACAGTATAAATATCAGCCACAAGTTCATAGAGAACACTTTTTAGTTCCTATTTCACATTGAGGACTTTGAGCCCCACACTTATGTTTACAGTTGTTTTCAGAGAAACTGATCGATGGTCCAGGTACGTAGTGGAATCCAACATATGTGATCGTCTAGATGTAATTTTCAGCAAAATATATATACATTATACTTATCAGAGAGCGACCAAATCAGCTGGCCAATATTTTTAGCTGATATTAGCTTTTTCCCTTGTATCAGTATCGGAGTATCATGGATCATTGGTGCATTTAGAATCCATGGCCTGAGATCACGTGATGCATTAGCGCTCACTTCATCTGCTATCCACTCTTATTATTATGTTTCATTTGTAATTAGGGTTGGGCAATTAATTGCATTTTCTATATAATTGCAATTTAAAAAAAACACAAAATTTTCAAGAAGCAGCCAAATTTAATCACACTATAATTAACAAGACTAAGACACTAAATTTCTCAATGCAGCCCTTTGTGTAGGCAGTAAAAAGCTTGAAGTGGGTTTGTCACCACACAGAAAGGTAGATGGAGAGTTGTAGCTAGCTAGTAGATCCATGCATCTAGGAAGTAAAAACGTATTTGCACAAAAGTTAAAGTCCTGCAACAATAGATTCTGGGCAAGCAAGCTTTCAAAAACTAAAGACCTGTGGTGACACATCTACAAGTTTGCGGTTAGTGCAAAGGAAAATCGAAATAAAATCCCAATACTGGTTAAAAATAATAGCAATCTAGATTTGTTTCTTTTTTAATTGAAACTAAGACTTGTCAAACAGTCATTATGGTTGTTTGATGTTCATATAGTAAATTAAGGAAAAATTAGCAATATCAGCTCCAAGAACCGTCTCAAAAGTATTGGCAGCACATATCAAGGATTGGTTTGACTGATTCAAAATAATCGACCTTAGAAAATCTGTATCAGTCGGTCTCGTAAGTTTTTAAAAAGTAATAGGAAACACTTTATCATTATCATATTTGGACAGAGGCTCAGTGGGAAACTGCTGATCACAGCTTTTGTCTTTGGGTTTGGCTGAATTAGAATGGGTCAGTTCCTATATTAAGGTTGTCTCCAACAGCCATGTTTTCCTTCGATTAGGTCAAAAGATGTACTTTAAAATGTTTCCACTGAGTCTGGTTTTTATTTAAGTTCTTCTATCTTTTCCTTGTCTTTAATCGTCAGACTCAGAACAGAATGAAGCTGATGGCCGACAACTATGAAGATGATCACTTAAAGGCTGCACACGATCACACAAATCACAAACCCTCTCCAGATCAGGTAACTCCACGAGCCGCATGTTTCCAGATCTCTTTTGACAGCAGCCTTTGAAAAGAGCTTTTCAGTATAGAAGGTTGGACTGCTTGGTGGACGGCCATGTAAAGGGAACAAAGGGATCATTGTGTAGGTGTGCTCTAACCACATATTTCTTTTCTAATGCTGCGCCTGGCAAACCTTGTGGTTAACAGGATGATGAGGAGGGTATTTGGGCGTAGCCAGCCTTATACCCTTCCCCTCTCTTTCACAGCCTTTTTGTTCAGAAGGGTGAGCTCGTATTAAACAAAGCCAATCCTTCCCCTTTCATCACTGGCATGTTCATTTTTTTCTTCCTCCATTTATATGTGGTGCATTTCATGTCATTTGATGTTGGGTCTTATTGTTTAAGAATGGAAACATCTGTCATGCGTGTTGCTGTGGTTCGTTAAATTTGCATGCCATCATTATGCTTTTAATTGGTGCTCATTGTACTTTGTTTCTGATGATAAAACTAAAGCTGCCCAGTACTAATGTATAATGGGGATGGACAGCTATGCATGCATGCAGAGTAATGATCACTGTGTTTTCATTGTTTGGAAGCATCTGGACTGGATCCAAACCTGTTTCTATCATCCTAACATTCTTCCTCTGACACTTTTTCCTCTCTTTATAGATGATTGCCCCTCTTCTTGCCCTGTCCCAGAACCGCAGCAAGCTCAAACTCTACATCGCCCATTTGACAGACCTCTGCAATGACCGAGACCCCAGCATCCTCAGCCAGCTCTCTCCTCCCTCTCATTACCACCACAGCGACCCTGAAGACTGGGAGGAGGAGCTTCAGAAAATGAAAGTTGAACAGGTACTGAGGAAACCCATGGCACAATCTAAGAATCTTTTGTATTTTAACTTTCTGTGAGGTGAAGCAAAACGTACTGCGTTTTAAATATTTATTGTGTAGCTATATTACAGACTCAAACTTTATTTTTACAGAAAGTGTAAAGCACGGGGTGAGACAAATCCATAAACTGTGCTGTGTATTTGTTTATATAAATTGTTTTTCTAATAACAAATAAAACGGAAACCAATAAACTTCAGCCTACATGCAAAATGCTTTAAATAGTGAACTTCTGCAGTGACAGGGAAGCTGCCCAGAGTTGATGAGAAGATGGGTGGAGCTAACCTAACAGTCGTGTTTTTTGACTGTGGGAGGAAGCTGGAGTACCCGGAGAGAACCAGTGCATGCTCAAGGAGAACCTGCGAACTCCATGCAGAAAGGGAATCGAACTCGGAACATTCTTGCGGCAAGGCAGCAGTGCTACCCACTGCACCACTGAACAGCCCGCTTTGATGATTTTTATCTACAATATTATTAGAAAGCAATGCATGATTTTTCCTTCTGCTTCATAGTGATGCACTTCTTTGTGTTGGATTCAAACTAATGTTTGAGGTTTCAAATTTAGAAAAGGCACCAAGGGCATGAGAGCTTTTGCTATTGTACACCACAGCAGATTTATAGATTTCTTTGCTAATTCTGGCTTGTTCTTGGTCAGTTGGGTTTAATTGTAATATACCTCATTCCAATATTTAAAGATAAGTTTAAAAAGAAAAGAAATTGAGTTAAAAAAAGATAAAGGTAATTAAAAAATGTGTTTTAGAAATGGGTATATTTCATTGGAACGAAACACAGAGGTGCCACTGATAAAACGGCAAACATCCTATATTTGACTTAAGCTCCTGTTGACCATTTTTAATATTGTCTTTCGAAGCATTTTATTTATTTTTGTTTTAAAAGTCACCCTTTTTACTGTTGCAACAAACAAAAGCTCCAGTCAAAAAGAAAATCTGTTACCATGGCAGCACCTGCAATCAAAACGCACTTTGATGGGGAAAATATCTGTGAAATTAACGTTGAGACTCACACAATGGTCATTATTAACCTCATAACATCAAGTTCCAAATATACAAAACAAAATAAACATCAGCCTAGTGAGATCAGGGAAAATTACTGGTATTAAACTCCAGCTGCTTGTTTGTGGTGCATTTACTCTAAGTACTTTTTATTGTCAGTTTTACATTTTAAAACCACAGCTACATGGTTCAGTACATCTTAACATGATAAATAACCTCAAAATGTTTTATTGCAGTTTCCATCTATTACTAGCAAATAAAGTTTACAAAAAACATCATAGATTTTGTGCTTTGCCCTAAACGTCATACAATTTAATGGCTCTCTTTAGCTTGGAACATTATAAAGGGTTAAAAAAAAAAAAAAAAAAAAAAAAAAAAGATTTGGTGGATAGATAAAATTGTTACTAATGTTATCATTAAAAATCTTCAGTAGTTTTATAGACATTGATTTTTAATTTCCGTAAATTTAGAATCAAAATCATTTCAACTACTGTGATTATGTGGACTTATTTACAATCAAGTACCGTATTTTCACGACCATAAGGCGCACCGTACTAAAAGGCACAGTCTCAGTTATGTGTCCCATTTCTGTATTTAACACACACATAAGGCGCACCGGACTATAGGGCGCGTTTTTTATATACAGGTACATGTCCTCTACTAGCTTTAAATACCTCTACTGCGTATTTAAAAATACAGTGGGGGCAAAACTGAGTATGACTGTGCTTTATTCATGTATTTATTACAAACTATTAATCAAACCTGGGTGCTGGCCGTGAGACAGACACATCGCAGATGACACAGCGCTGTGATCACTCCTAAATTAACTTAAAATCCTGAAACCTGCCGACGGAATTTGTTCGCTTTTATTACCGGTATCCTGGTGCCTGCAGTTTAAATTATTTAGATGAAAAACACCTGCCAGCAGCCGCGGTGAACCCGGAGGCTACCGGCCTAGAGGCTGCTGTTGAAGGGATTTCTGCTGTCGGTGCACCGCTGGTATGTGGGGGTCTGAGCGCCTCCGACAGAAATAGATAATCTGGATGAGCTGACTGCAATTATGAAGTTTTCAGGTGGACTTTCTCACTTAAAAACATATTAAAACTACTTTATTCCCACTGATCACAGCAAATATAGCTGCAAGATTTAGATTATTTAAATGAAAAAACACTTGCCAGCCACCGCGGTGAAGAGGAGGAGACCCGGCCCAGAGGCTGCTGTTGAATTAAGTTTTCAGGTAGAAAAATAGAGCGGGAGCAAAACTGAGTATGTTTGTGCTTTATTAATGTATTTATTACAAAGTATTAATCAAACCCATCAAAGTCATCATCCTCCGTTTCTGAATTAAACAGCTGCGCTAAATCAGACATGCCAATTTCCCCTTCTTCGCTGTCAGAGTCACTTTCCGTGCCGGGCGGCTCCTCAGAAATAATGCCGGCTTTTGCGAAAGCTTGAACAACAGAGCCAGCAGACACGTTAGTCCGTCTGCAATCCATCCGCAAACTGGCTCCACTTATCCTGAAACTGTGCTCTCCGTCTGTCATCCATCGCTCCCACGCCGCTCGCAGCCTTACTTTGAACGGCCGCTTCACACCGATGTCGAGCGGTTGAAGTTCCTTTGTCAGACCTCCCGGGATAACGGTGAGCACAGCGTTCATTTGATTCACCATGTTTTTCTCGTCAGCTGTGAGATGGGCACGCATGGGGTCACAGATTAACTGCGATGGTGATGCGTGGAAAAAAACACCTGGTCTCCTCACATACACCTGCCTCAGCCACGCTTTCATCATCTCCTCATCCATCCAGCCCTTTTCATTTGCGTTAATATCATATGTCATCAGAGCGCTGTGTCTGTCTCGCTGTCAGCTCCCAGATCAGCTTCTCTGATTCGTTGATGCGGCGCTTCCAGCAGCAAAACTTCATTTTTTTCCATCTCGAGCAGCAGCAGCGCGTTGGCGGTGCGTCAGATGCTTAAACGCTCCCGACGCAGCGCCTGCTGCTCAAAACGCGCTGCGGGACCTTTTGCTGCGCCTATACGCGCGTCAACCATTGACTTTGCATGAAAACTCGCTGCTTCTGCTGCACCTGCTGGGTCCGGTTCACACCGATGTCGAGCGGTTGAACAGCGAGCACAGCGTTAATTTGTTTCCCCATGTTTTTCACATCAGCTGTGAGATGGGCACGCATGGAGTTACATATTAACAGCGATGGTGATGAGTGGAAAAAAACCACCTGGTCTCCTTACATTCAGCCACTCTTTCATCATCTCCTCAATGAGGTGGTCTCAAAAGTCGCAGTTACAACACACATAGGGCGCACCGCACCAAAGGGCGCACTGCACATTTTTAGGGGAAAAAAAGACGTTTAAGTGCGCCTTATAGTCGTGAAAATACGGTATAATGTTTCCGTTCAACCCTGTTACTATATGAATACTTATCAATATATTATTTAATGACATTCTAAGATTACAAGCCTTTAACCTGTTGTTCTTCTGATTAACTTAATAAGTTGATGTATGCTGCTTTTGGAAAAAAAAAATCAAAAAACGTTGAAATTAGTCAAATAGAGCATTGGAAATTTATAAACAGCTGAGATGGATTGAATAGATAGCTGCGATAAATCCAAAGCAACCATTCTGTGGAATTTTAGTATTGAGATAAAATATATCTTTGCATGTTTAATTCTCAAAGGATTTTTCTGAAAAAATGTTTTGTTTTTCAGGTGCAGGAGTATCTGTCCCAGTACACGATAAATGAAATGCATCTTTAAGTGTGCAGCTGATTGTTGAGCAGAAAGAATTTTATGATTCTTCGAGCTGTTTTTCTTTATAGAATCAGAAAAAATAAGCTAATAGAAAAAAGCAGATTTTTTCTAAAAATAAATATATATATAGGACCTCAAGTTGTCTTGGAATGACGCTAAAATATCCTAGATTGAGATGTTTTGAACCGGATTTAGATGCTCTGAAAGTTTGCCAAATCTTCAAAATGATGAAAAAGTCTTTGAGATGCAGCTTTAAAAAATGTTTTATAAAATTTATTTTGACAAAGCAGGTTTATTTATTATGCACAATACAGTAGCAAGACAATTTAAAGTGCTCCACATGAGGAAAAAGAAAAGGTTAGAAAAGAGACATTACACTGGTATAAAGTTAAGAAGAATAATTAAAAAAGAAGATAAATGAAAGGAAAGATTTGTAAAATAAGCTCAGAAGGCTCTTTAAACGTGTTGAAACAGACTCCTGAAAATAACAACCCTATCCTCTCTGCTTCCAGTTGGAACGGGAGTTGGAGGTGTGTGAGAAGGAGAGCGGGGAGCTGCAGGAGTACGCCAATTCGGTCCTCCAGCAAATCGCAGACTACTGCCCAGATATCCTGGAACAGGTTGTCAATGCGCTGGAGGAGTCATGTTGACAAATCTAACCTCGGACTCACAGAGCCCAGAAAGCCCCACCCATCACCCCCCTCCTACAAGGAGACAAAGCTTAGGCCGTCATCCTCTCCACCTGGCAACAAACCTCCAGGAAACAGAAGTGCTTTTCTGTCTCATATTTCTATCTTAGGTTAGGCTGGTTGCACAAAATAAGAACATTCAACAAACACTTTGAGTAAATATTCAGTTTAGTCCAAATGAGTGAAGAGACCTAAAGCACAGGCCTGATCGTGTCAGGCACGCACACTGGAATGATCTTTACTTTTAATTTAGCCTCTTCTCACAGATGCTGTTCCAGATGGAGAAGAGAGCCTGACCCAGAGGAGGGACAGACACTCTCACTCCCTTTACCTCTTAGATTTATCTCTCAACCCTCTCATGTTAAGAGGGATACATATTCCCCATCATTGGGACAGAAAAGCACTTTTTTCCTGCTGTTTCTTAGGAAAGCTGCTATATCCAAAGGGAGCAGGAGGGAGTGGATTCCAGAGGCGCAGCATGGAGCCATGTAGATGTTTTTCAGTCTAGGGTTGCCTAACATGACACAATTTGAGGGCAACTTTTCAACCAAATTAGCACAGACAGCTGCAGAAGAGCTGCAGTTTTGGTCATCAGTGGCTGGGTCATTAGAGGGGTTCAGCCTTTACCAGAAGAGTTTCTGATTTTAGTTACTATGTTCTCAAGCAGAGAAGAGGATTTAGGGGTGGAAAAGAAGAGCTTTTATTGTTGAGGTGTTCATTTCTCGGTGGTTTTTTGCACACAGTGTCCACTTGTTAATGGGGTATGCAATGTTTCTTTGAGAACGTTCTTGTGGCCTTGGAGCATGCACAGAAATCAGTACAGGACCTAAATGCCGAGGTATTTACGCCTCTGTAATACTGGTGCTACGGCATGATGTAAGAACTGATCCTCATCCAAAGTTCCTAATGGATTTCCTTAAAGCCCACATATTGATGCCCTTTTTTGTATGCTCAGATGTCTGTTTGCGTTTTTTTTCCTTTTTGGTTTTTGTTTGTTTGAATATTCAGGGCTGAGTTTTTTAATTACTAAGTGCATTGATTGACATTAACAGAGAAAATAAGTCAATTTTCAAGCAGGTTTTGACTTTTTAAATCAGTTTGTAAATAATGTGATATTTAACACGTACAGTAACTGAATAAAAGTAATACCGTGGAAGGTGTTGTGCATTAAAAGGAAAAAAACTAAATCTGAAAAGTTCAAAGCAGTGCAGTTGTCTTTTGTGTCTAATTTTGTCTCCTGGGGGACAGGCGTAAGTGTGACAGTGCTGCCATAAACTGCAGAAAGTCTATGTTCTATAGAAAATATATATAAATAAGATATATGAAAAGTTTTACTGTATCAATATGCATTGAATGTTTGCACAGAATCTCCAAGAGCAAGTTGCTCTGAACAAAATGTTTTCAGCGGAAACTGGGAAAAGATGCATTTAAAAAAAAAAGTGTTAAAATAATGTGCGAAGTTCAGACATTTCAAACCGTGACTATGTGATGGTGGGAGAGTACTGTTGAGTTTGTTTCTAATTGTCTTTTTCAAATAAATAATCTCGCCAAACGGTGGAGCTTTCCTGAGATTCCCATGTTGTCTTTTCTTATATTAATGGTTTTCATTGCTGAACTTTAAAGGATAAAAACAAATCTTGGGCTATCTTAGCCTTCCTGCTACAAAAGGTTTAATTCGGTAGGTATCGGAGGAAGAACCAAAGACAAGAGCTGGAGTAAAAAAAAAAAAAAAAGTTGGATGCTTGTTTTCTTGTCAAATTGAAGAGGTGTTTCTGTCCCTTTAGCTCCTAACAGCTGAAATCAAAGATTATGCTTTCAATCCCCATTTATTTTAGCCTGCTTCTCTCCCCCTGCCTTAAGGTCTCATTTCCTTTCCCTCCTATTTCTTTTTGGGAACACAGAGCTAACCAAGGCGCTTTAATCACGTCTGATGGAAGTTTTTGCATTTGTATAAAAAGAATAAAATGTACTGCTGTCTGTTCATGTTAAAAAAATCTAACTGAATTAAAAAAAATGTTGGTTACATGGATTTTCTATGTATGGAAAAGAATAAATTATGATCCTTGTTTTCTTGTGAAATTTCCTTTTTCCCTCTAATCAACAAAAACAGCCATACCTTACAGTTTAATATGCTTAAAGCAGCCTGTAATATTTTCACTTCTAAGGCACCAACGTTTAGATTAGAGTTGAGATTATTTCTTAAGGCACTGTGTTATTGCACTGTCCTAAATGTGAAACATGGTGGTGGCAACATCATGCTTTATTTTAAAGATGAATGAAGGGCAATGCTTGCAGAAAAAAACAAAAAAAAAGACTGAGGAAGAATTTAACAGTCGTAGACATACAGGCAGGGACTGTTTAGGTAAAGGTGTAAGGAAGTCCAAACCTCAACCCAACTGAGACTATTTGAAGACACCATCCTTAAGAGGGGAAATAATGTGAGAAAAATTAATCGGTTTTCATTCATAAAAATGCTGAAAGCCCAATTTTTTTTTTTCTGTTATGCAGAACTTCCTGTTGGTCCATCATAAGACCCCTAGTAAAATACACACAAACCTGTAGTCTCCATTTTATCAAATGACTTACCAAGATATAAATGTTTTTGCATGGCACTGATAACGTCCCGGATTTATTTTAGAGGAATTATTTAGTTATTAGGTTATCTAACAGTAATGTAAAAATGACTTCAGATCTCCTTTCTGTCCCTTTATAGCCATTTTTTCCAACCTGAGTTCACATTATCCAATCTGAAAACAAAGTATAGTTCTCTCTGTAGAAATTCTCTGTATCAATACGTTTTATATGTGTTTAATAAAGCCTAAATCTCCTGTTTAAAGGTAACATTCTAAAGATCTATCTTTACAACCTGTTTTCAGTGACTACAGTTTTAATTTGCATTCAGGCCAATGGACCTGACGCTTGTTTAAGCAAGTATGGTCCTAAATTGGACCCAAAACTTTGTTCTAAAAGAAAACAAAAATATTCTGGTTTATGTCTATAAATTATAGACATTTGAAAAATATTTCATAAAGTATTTCTTTAATGAATTGAGGCTCCCACCAGGAGATCTGCAGATGCATGAAAAGCAAGCCAGGAACACCGAGGCAGCCTGTACTCATCTATGTGATATATTGCGACCGTATCGCATCTCAAGATTCAAAGATTGTTGACTGGTCAACACAAACCAAAGTTCCCTTTCTATAAACCCTTAAATTTCAGTCATACTGCAGCTTGATAAAATAGAAAATCGGAATCACCATGTATCATTGGCAAAGCGATGAACTCAAGGTTTCTGCACAAATCAGACTGCTTAAGCCAAAAAAAATAAAAAAAATACTCAAGACTTTATGCACCGTCACTATCATCCTAATACCATGGATTTACTACTTTCATCAATTGGGATTAAAAAAAAAAAAAAGATATATATTTTTTCAAAACTAACAATTATTCTTACTTTTTATGGTTAGTCATTGTAATAATAATAATTGAACTTTACTGATCCCACATTGGAGATATTTACCTCTGCACTTAACCCATCTCCTTAGGGAGCAGTGGCTGCCATCGTGGGACGCCCAGGGAGCAGTGTGGGGTTAAGAGTCCTACTCAGACACCCAGAGTGCCCTAACCACTGATAAAAATAGGCAATAAATTGACAGGGTGACCAGATTGAAATTTAAATGAATCTTAGGATTATTAATCAACATGTATTAGTAGCAGAGCTCCAACAAATGATTATTTTGCTAATCAATTAATCTGTCAATTATTTTTCCAATTAATGGATTAATATTTAGATAGCCAAAGATTCCTTAAAGAAGTTTTTTTTTTATGAAACTAAACCAAATTAAAGCTTTTTGACTAGAGAATATTGACGGATGAAAAAATTTTAATCTTAAAAGCAATATGTTCATATATATATATATATATATATATATATACACATATATATATATACACACATATATATATATATATATTCTTTTTTTTTATTTTGATAAAAAATGACTGCTCTGTCAGCTAAAGGTATGTTTTACAGTCTCTACACTCCTGTTAATGATTAATCAATTACTGTATTAGTTGACCTAAGAATAAAAAAAAAAACCTGGGTTCAACAAAAAGGTGCAATAAATGTGACAGGGATATTTGTAGATACTTTAGATGGGATATTTTTTAATACCCATGTAATGAATAAACAGGCAAATCAGGTTCTATCATTTTAACTTTCTCTGGGTTCCTCGTCAATTAATCTTAAAAGATAAAAATCATTTTTCTAGCAGCCCTCTTAGCTAGGGAAAAGGTCTAAATTGGAAAAATATAAAAGCATTCAGTACCATCCTATGCAAATCTAAAGAATTTTCCAGAGAGAAAATAATCTGTGTAGATTTACAGAATTTTATATACCATTCAAACGTTTTAAGGTGGATCTGGTTATTTACAACAAAACAGACAACCAAAATATATTTATATTCTTTATTCATAAATACCACTATTTTATGAATATAAAACATCTTAAATTACTGTTTGCTTGGACAAATACTCTGGCGTTACGGTTGAAAGCTCTTCAGGCAAAAAGACAAACAATGAAGAACAGTAATTGCATATAATCTGTGTAGCCGTTAACTCCTTATTGTTGCTGTGGTGGCAAAATCCATGTTTTAAATGATCTCCTTAGAAACCTCACACAAATAAAAAGATGTACAGGAGTGAAAAGAGGCAGGAGTGATCCACTCACTTCAATTTGAAGCACAACTTTGTCAGCAACGGTCATTCTGTACAAACAAGAATATTCAAACAAAAAAAACAGAAATTAAAACCGTTATGTCCAGGAAAACTGCAACCTTTTTGTCTGCAATAAAAACTCTATTTTTACTTCTGAATTTACAAGTGTCTTAATGTAAAAAAAAAATCTCTAAAAAATATACTATCTAGTAGGCACTCCTGTGTTCAGTGGGCGAGGTAGCTGGGTGGTCAGAATGTACACAGGCTCCAGGTTTATCAAAGCAAGAGTCTATCAAAATTTTGGGGTAAAAAAAATCTAGATACTGTGAAAGACATGATCCCATTTCAGTTCCTCCTTGTATAGTTTAGGAGGCTTTATTAAGGATGCATACAGGTGAACAACAGCACCATACAAGATGAAATGCACACAATCTGTCACCTCACTCTCTCGCTCTCTGTCATCTGCCACAGCCCGAGGTTTAATACTTTAAGGCACGGGAGCTGCGTTATCCTCTCCAGACCCCTCTTGGTGATCTTAGTGCAACCATACAGATCAATCCCTGTCAGCTGAGTCAAATGGTCAGCTATTAACTCCAAACCTTTGTCTGTGATTCGCACACACTGCCCAATGTTCAGAGTTTTCAGTTCGTGCATTTGGCGCACCATTCGGTTAATCCCGTCATCACTGATATGACAGGAGCACAGAGAGAGAGACTTGAGCTGATACAGGCCCTGGGCGATGTAAGCCAGGCTCTGGTCTCCGATCTTATCACAGAAAGAGACATCGAGGCCAGAAAGCCGGAGGGAGCCCATAGCCAGATGCATTATCCCTGTGTCACTGATGTTATCGCAGGAGCGCAGGTTCAGGCTACAGAGCTGGGTCATCTGTGACAGGTGGATCATCCCTGCATCCGATATCCCCCCACAGAAGCTGAGGTTCAAGACTTTGAGCTTGTTTAGACCCTTTGAAACATGTTTAAGTGAAAGATCTGTCAGCTTCTGGCAGTCCTGTAAGGTTAACTTCTCCAGAGTTAGGCAGCCCTCTGCAGCACTGCGGGTCATTCCAGAGAGGTGACCAATGCCCACGTCTGATACATGCCTGCAGCTGCGAAGGTTAAGGCTTTTGAGTCGGTACAACCCCCAGGCGATGAGCAACAGGCCAGTGTTCGTGATATTGCTGCACCCACCCAGCTCCAGCACCTCCAGGTTCTTCAGGTACTGAGCGATCCTGCCCAGACTGGAGTCTGTGATCTGCTTACACAAGCTAAGGTTCAGGACCCGCAGGGATGGGATGTACTGCACAAAGGCATGTCCCAGACCATTGTCGGTGAGGTTGAAACATCCACACAAGTTAAGGCTTTCGATCTGCGGCATCCCCTGAATCACGTAGCTCAGGCTTCGCCTCAGGCTGAGGATCTGAACTTTCTTGATCCCTCTGGTCTGCAGACTCGGGAACAGAGACGGGTTGGCTCTCCGTAGATGGAGCTTAGCTTCCACCCCCCTCCACACAGACTTGTGGTAGGAAGCGTCTCTCCAGGCCGCGCATACTTGGGCTACCCTGCCTTTGTCCTTAACGTCCAAGTAACTGAAAATAATGGCCAAGATTTCCGGGAAAAGGCACGATATGTGTGTTTCCGTTTGAAACATGACTGCTGGATGACTTCTGGCGGCGGCACCGGTTGCCTAGGAGCGACAACAAAGCGGCGTTAGCTCCACCAAAGTTAGTCTTTAGCATTAGCTACTGTCAGCGAACCAGTTAGCATTATGTGCTGCGAAACAAAAATACACTCTAATCCTTTAAAAAAAAAATCACTATTTTATTATATAGTTATAAAAAACATTCTCACAGAAAAGTTAACATGTCGATGAAGTGGGTTCACTTTAAAAATGCAATATTTACCAAGTACGAGTCGGCTTAGCATAAGCTAGCTGTCTAAAGTTGGGAGCTTGAAAGCCGCCGAACCTCCTCGTCCGGAACGACGTACTTTTTACTCCAAATCATCTTAAGAACGCAAAA